GATATGCCCATAATCTCAGCACTTGGGAGATGGAGGTGGGAAGATCTGAAGTTCAAGGTCACTTGAGGCCAGTCTGAGGGACATTAGACCCTCTGTCAAAGGTCATAGATCCTAGAAAAGAACCTACTACTGTAACTTTCCTAGACCAAAGTAATTTCTATTTTCACCACTTGTGAAATAAGTGTCTTCATGCAACAAAGAAAGACTATTACAAAGTTTCACAACTTGTTGAATGCAAAGAATAAGTGACCATGAGGTACCCAGCCCTAAGTGATACATTTACAGTGTAACCTCTATTCCTAAGACTCAAGAAACATTCTAGAAGAGGAGGTACAAAGATTGTAAGACAGGAGGACAAGATATCTGCTGCTGGTTAATGCATTCTAAACATGATGGGGAAACTACATCCATGGAATTTCCACAGTATGGTAGCCTAACAAGATCTGCATAATAACAAGGCCAGTTGACATGCCAATTTGGATTGGGAACATTTCACAGGGTTCTACCTCAAAATGAAGACCTACAGGCAGTCAATGGATGCTGAGGGAGAATCAGTTTTCTCCAGAAACTAGCTCCTAATCCCAAGTGGTTAGCTCTTAACACATGTACAGACGAGCACCACTAAATGGACTCAGCATATGTATATGTAGATAGATAGATAGATAGATAGATAGATAGATAGATATAAATATAAAAGAAGAGGATAAGCTGTGAGGGGCATGAGGGGAGTTGGAAGGGGACTGGGAGGGGTGAAAATCATGTAAACACAACACTCAAAGTATGAAATTCTCAAAAAAAATTAACAAAAGATCCTGTGTCGGGGCTGGAGAGATGGCTCAGCAGTTAAGAGTACTGCTCTTGCAGAGGACCCGGGTTCGATTCCCAGCACTCACATGGCAGCTACAAACTGTCCTTAACTCCAGTTCCAGGGAAATCCGAAGCCCTCTTCTGACCTCCGCGGCATTGCATGACACAGGTGCACTCACATATATGCAGGCAATATACTTGTACACATACAAGTATAATAATAAATAAAAATAAAAAATAATAAATAAAATATTTTAAAAAAGATCCTGTCTCAAGAAACTAAAACCTAGAAGTGCCTTTTATCTCTCACACACTGGTCTTCATAATTCCTGTGTGCTGGCATTCTTACAATTACTCTAAAATATGCCATCCAGGCTAAGGATGTAGCTTAATAGTAGTGTTTCTGCCCAGTTCACAGACCCAACACTGCAACAGAAGAAGAGACAGAAACATATCATAAAAAATTATGAGCAATAGTTACTCTACTGTGCTATAGAAAATCAGAACCAAACAAGGTGCCTATCAGTGGATGAACGTGATATACAAACACAGTGGAATATTACTTAGCCTTAAAGAAACAATGAAATTATGTCATTTATAGTAAGATGGCTGAAACCGGAGGCCAGGCACAGAATTAAGTGCCACCAAACTTCTTTTAAGAGTAAGATAGAGGTGGGCATGGTGGCATATGCCTGTAATTCCAGCACATGGGAAGTGGAGACAGGAGGATTTTGAACTCAAGTGTCTCCTGGGCTACATATAGAGTATCAGGCCAGCCAGAGCTAACATAGCAAGACCTATCTCAAAACACAAATAGAAAGATGGGAGAGAGAGAGAGAGAGAGAGAGAGAGAGAGAGAGAGAGAGAGCAAAAATGAAAGGAAAGAAAAAAGCAACCCCTTACCATGATACTTAATCTCACTTATTCTCAAATTTCACTGAAAAGCCTGTTAATTCCTACTGAAGCATAGTTAAGGAGCAGGGTATAGTTCAGTGGTAGAAGGTCTAGAACTTGTGAGGCTCTGGGTTCAACTCTAGGACAATAAAATATATATATTTTTTAGTTTCTTGAGACAGAAACTTATGAACTCCAGGCTGGCCTCAAATTTGATATGTAGCCCAAGGCCAGGCAAGGCCAACTCCTGATCCTCCTGCCAATAATGTATATTTAATTGGTCAGGCTTCTTAACCAGATTGCCTGAGGATGGGAACTAAATTTGAGTTATCTTTCTATCTCCAAAAAAGACACTTCAAAACAAGAAGTTGGGGTGGGGGTGGGGGCTAAGGATGTAGCTCAGATGGTAGCATGCTTGCTTGCCTAGTATGCATGAATCCCTGGGTTTGATTTATCTCAAGCACTGCCTAAACTGAACAAAGTAGCATATTCCTGTAATACTAGCACCTGGGAGGTAGGGGTAGGACGGTAGGAATTCAAAGTCATCCTAGGCTGTACAGTGAGTGTGAAGCCATTCTGGGATACAGGAGACCCTATTTTTTTTAAGGCACATGCTGTTGATCATTAACTCCTGGGGTCAAGAGATTCTCATGTCTTCGTCTCCCAAGTAGATAGGTCTGTAGGTAGTGGCCTGGATTTACTTCTAACACAAGAAGCTCATCCCTCTACCGGAGGGCAGGCGGGAGAACGAAGCCTATGGGAAAAGCTTTGGGCAGCTGGGGGAGGCACTTAGAAAGGATTCTGAGGGGAAGTGCCTACCCCCTGCTCTTTGAGACTCAGGTTTCTTCCTCCATATTTACAAAATGGGGCTCTACCCCACACTCCAGAAGTCAGAGTGATGACCCCTCAGAACAGGACTGCACCAGGCATCGCATGCCCACCATTATGCACCTTTCTCAATGTTATCTGTACTCCAATAAGCCTCCTAGGGATTGGGAGACAAGAGAATTCCTCCTCAGACTTTGTCTACATTTAGCAAAAATAAGTCACAGAGAAGCTGTGACCAGTCAGAGGCTCTCAGAGCCTTCTCTCTGGGTTTCCCTGACCTGCACAGGACTCTCAGTGGACAGCCTGGTCTGTGTGCCTAGTCTCTGCCATCTCATCTCCTAAGGAATGCAGTCTCCACCAGGCCTGCCTGTGGCTCCTGCTGGGAGAGTCCATTCCACTCTTGTTTCCTCCATTTGCAATCACTATTTATTTATCTTTGGAAGTTCAAGGAACCAGAGCCTGCAACTGGGACTGACTAGGGAATCCAGGGAAGGAAAGCGAAGAAGCCAGGGAGAGAAGCCTTGCAAGGGTGGGACACTTGGCCCACAGACCACAGTGGTAGAAAGATAATGAGCCCCCCAGAGCACCCCAGCAAGGCCAAGCTGGGGTCTCTTTGGGGGCATAGTAATGGGTGGTGAGCAGGAGCTCTGCCCTAATCCCTGAAGGCTGCCTGCTAGCAGTAAAGGCTTTATTGAGGAAAAGGTGGTCTTCTGTGGGGGAAACAGAGGAGATGACAGCACCCTGGACCGCACTCCTTCCCTCTGACTTCTTTACAGTTTTCAGTGTGGTGCAGCTGTCACCCACAGGCACTGGTTGTCAGGGGTTTGCTGTGTGGCCCAGGCTGGCGTCCAACTCTAGATCCTCTTGCCTCAGCCTGTGGGGTGCTGGGCTGCCCAGCTGGCTTCCACAGACACTTTTGTCCTCTCCAGGAGTCAAGGCCTTACTCTAAACGAGACGGGTCCTCTCCTCCTTCTCCGCCCACAATTTACGTTCATAAACAAGGGGGGTCAGACAGTTAATAAAGGGGCTAGAGAGATGGCTCAGTGGTTAAGAGCACTGGGTGCGGTTGCAGAGAATCCGGGTACCATTCCCAGCACCCACATGGCAGGTAACAACCATCCCTAACTCCAGTTCCAGGTGAATCTGATGTCCTCTTCTGGCCTCCGTGGGCATTGCACGGCACTGGTGCACTTACACATATGCAGGCAATACATTTATACACATTAAAAAAAAAAAAAAAGGCAGCATGAGCCTAGAATCCTAGACTTGGATGTCCCGACTCATTTCGCAGTGCTCTGCCCACACCTCTCTGCAGCTTCTCATTTTCCGTTCTATTCACAGCCCCCTAACACACACACACACACACACACACACACACACACACACACGCAAACGAGGAGGCTCGATCTAGCAGGGTTCGCCTTGGCCTTCGGGCCTGACCTCTCCTTAGTGGAATGACAGGCACCTCCTGCTGGGCAAACTCACTGCTCACAGGATGAGGTCTGTGGTCCCCTTGTCCTGCGGTGACCTCCATGGGAGTTTGAGGGTGGGAATAGGGCTGCGAGAGTCAACTTTTAGACTGGACCATCGTGTCAGGGGCCAAAAGAAGCCTTAGCTTTCGAGCAAAGTTGAACTCCAAACATGGAGGACCAGACATCTCAACAAAAGCCCCGGGATCAAGGGTGTGGAGGCTAGATGAGGGAGAATGATGGTTGGCGTGGAGATCTCCTCCATGGGAGTTTGAGGGTGGGAATAGGGCTGCGAGAGTCAACTTTTAGACTGGACCATCGTGTCAGGGGCCAAAAGAAGCCTTAGCTTTCGAGCAAAGTTGAACTCCAAACATGGAGGACCAGACATCTCAACAAAAGCCCCGGGATCAAGGGTGTGGAGGCTAGATGAGGGAGAATGATGGTTGGCGTGGAGATCTGAGCTGGGATGTGGACAGAAAGGGTCCTGGCTCAGCAG